GGAATTCATTTTATAGCAGATGTACAGAACACTAAGCATATACAGATGTTTAAGATGTGGTCCCAGCCTTCTTGTTATCTAGCTATAGAAGATACTGTATACAAAAACTTATTTTAAAACATCTAATGTTAAATCTGGAAATGAGAAATCATCTCACAAAACCTTCTCATTTTGCAGCTAAAGAAACAGAAGAGTATAAATGGTCAATGGAAAGCTCAAATAAATATAGTAGGTTAGTGGCAGGGTCGTGGCTATAAATTTTGTTCTTTCATTCCTACTACGTGGTTTGTGGTTGTGAGCACAAAGTCCACAGATCCTACATACTGCAGAGTTTCTTAAAAAGGCATAATTTGTAAATTGTTTTTGCTTTAGTTTTTGTTTTTAGTTTAAATTAAAATAAAATAATTTTTTTTAAAAAGTTGTAAGATCTAAGGAACAGGGAGATCCAAATATGTGTCCTCCAACTGTTCACTGCATTAAACATTAAAGAATTTTAGTGACAGCCTGTATTCTTTATACAAACCAAGAAAGGCCAATTATGGATTATATGTGTTTGTTATATTTTTAAAAACAGAATGGCTTTAGTGAACTAAACTTCAGAGATTTTGCCTTGACTAAGAATTTTTTTTTTCTTGGCAATATACTATAGGTACACCCTTGATTTCCCTGTACTAAATGCACTAATTTTTGGTTTGATCCTAGGGAAATTACAGTTAGAAAAATATGCAGTGACTCTCTGTGATAATGTAGGACAATTGCTAAGATCAGACATATATAAAATTTTAGAGATCTCTATTTCAACTCACTTTACTGATTAATAAATTTGAGCTGAGGGATTAAATGACTGGTAGTTCCCACAAGTAGTCAGATCAAGCTTGGTGCTAATATCCCAGGGTCTCCTGACTTTGAATCCTGGGGTCCCATAGTCACATCACATCATTCTACATTATTTTTATGATAATTTCCAAAATTATTACTAGTGTGATATAAGAGAAACTTGATACTATGGGGGCAGGGGGGAGATGCGTGGATTGAGGGTGAAGAAAACTGTTGGGTTGATAAAAATTTAAAAATCTTAGCTTTTAGGTTTAAATCTTTCTGCTTTCTGATACTATTCTTGGGCTTTCAACCATTACCCATTTTCTTCAAAATGATGTATGGCAGGACCCTGTCCCATGAGCCTTCCTTTTCCTCACAAATAAACCAACCACATTCTAAACCATTTGCTCTTCTCCACAAGCAAAGCCACAAAACTCTGAGGCCTGAGGGTCTCTGCTTTTAGGCAGGAGCGCAGTTCTCCAGGATGGCAATTAAGTCTCAGGTGTGAGGGCTCTAAGGGCATTCAAAGATGGGAAAGATGGGGATGAGTTAGAGAAGGCAAGACAACCCTCTGTGCCTGCTCCATATCGAGGGACTTGGAGACTCCCTGAGTATTAAAAAAAAAGAAAACAACTTTTTTTTCTTAATGTAATTGGAGAGGCTTGCTGCCTTAATGGTAGAGGACTATTCAAGGAACACCGAACTAAAATAATTGGAAACGAGGAAAAATGGAGTACAGGAGGACCAACATGAGGATACACATAAGAATAAGAAATGGAGATAACAAATGATCTTTTTAATTATCAGTTAAAACATCAGTTTGACCTACAGTTTAGATAGAAGAGCATTGGGAAAAAGTGAAAAGAAGCTGAATTGTAGAGTTATAAGTGGCAGGGACTAAAAGCTTATTTATAGGTAATAAATAAGGTGGTAGGAGTTACAATATCAGCTGGGACATGCTACATTTCAGTTCATGTCGTATATCCATGTGGTGAAATTAAGCAGGTAATTCAATATATAAGTCTGGTGGTGGTATATAATGGAAAGATGGCTCAGATGACATGATTCTGAGTCTTGGCTCCATCAACAACCAACTGTGAGACTTTAGTATCCAATACTGAAATACCATAATAATATTACCTGCTTGCCCTAGTTAGAAATTGTGCTTGGCTAGTAGCAACAAAGCTTTACACTAATGACTTACTAATGAGAAGTCTGGAGCTATACACCCAAGGACTGACAATTTGGCAGTATAATGTCATCAAGGACCTTGGCTTCTCATATCAAGCACTCATCACCTCATATTTACAACTTGGCTTTTGGACCACTTCCCATTGTGTTCATGTCCCAGGTGTGATGGAGGGGAAGGGGCAGAAATCAAATGCCAGCTGAATTAACAGCTCTGTCCTATCATTTAAAGAGTTTTTCAGTGATGCTTGACTCAACAACTTTCATCTCATTTGCTAAAACTTCAATGTCAAGACACCAATACCACATCTACATAGGAGACTAGCAAAGTAGAAAACATACTTGCTTTCAATTCAAATAAAGTACAGAGAGAAAATATCTTATTCCAAGGAAAAACGTTTTTGAGAAGGTCAGAGCAGATGGGATGTGCAGAGTAAGTGGAACAATTTGATTTTTATATGAATAAAAACACTTAAGCAATAATAGAAGGATGGTAAGGAAGAGGGTATGGAGAAACTCAAGTAAGATTTATTTTCCTCATGTCCCATGTACCACAGATCTTGGAAGTGTGAGTACATTTTGTTTATACTGCCATTATCATTTTAAACAATTTAATTTTCTTTTTCCTTCAAAGCCCTCAACTCTTCTGTGGAATGCATCATTAGACTTAGAATCTTCCATGTTGCTATCAACCACCAAATATACAGTAATCACATTAATTCATTGAAGATTTTAGTCCCTGTATCATTTTATTCCTTCCCATAATAACTCCTGGCATGATGATTGGTAACTGATTAAATTATACCGATGACTCATTAAACACGTTGGCCTTTTATTTTCTTGGTCTTCTTGACTCCAGTGATCTGTTCTTCTGCCTTGATTTAGTCATAGATTTTTAAAAACATACTCTTGACTTGTCAGCCCTCATATATATGCTACTACTGAAAATCTACTTCAAGGATCTCATTCCTTGTCCACCACCTCCCACTCTAGCAATTCTGCAACCTGATGCTATCAGAATCTTCTCAATATCAATCTATCTTCCCTTATTTCCTTAATGCTTTCTTAGGAACTTCTATACCATGGGTCTTCATTATTATCACTCCTGTGTACATGTTCCTATCATCTCTACTCCCCTCTCTCTTTCCATTGTCCATGACTAGTTAAATCCAGCCCTATGCTCTTTGTACCCCTTCAAACACATGGGTGACAACAGAGCAAGACAGATAGGAAGGATGACTGGTCTCACATTAAATTGATGAACATAAATCTCAAAGTGCCAATCCACAATGCGTAGCCATTCCATTATACATTCCTTATTCTGTGTGCATGTGTGTATTTATATTTATATATATTTCTGTCCCTTATAATAAATGACTTCTCTCTCCTTCTCAAACTACCTTCTCCTCTTTGCTCCCTCAGCTGATAACCTTGTTTCTTTCATATGCCATCAAGAAAATAGAAACCATCAGAAAATAAGTTCCTAATATTCTTAACACCTAAATACCTATTGCTGGACAAAGACAGTATTTGTTGGTGTGTGGTTAATTTTCTAATATTTTCTAATGCCTCCTCTTTCCTTGCTATGTTTGCTATGTGTCTAGCATTTTATAATACAGCAGACTAGAAGTAGATGATTCTATTTAATAATAGTAGTTGGAAAACTATGGAAACATAAAATACGTTCTTAAATTGGTATGTGTTTGCTTATCTGTTCTTTTGTTTAATTGTTTGCTTTTAAATGAGATTCCTTCACTCAACTAGAACCACTGGGGGTGGGGCTGTGGTGTTTGAAGATAGTCATTAATTGGAGGTGGGTGAATTTTGTGTATGGAACAAATAACAGCATAATGGAATTATGTATATTTATATATATATATGAATATATAAATATATATATTATTATATATATAATAACATTTTTCACTGACATTTGGATAGCGAATATTTTGAGAAAATGCTTCTACACACCAAAATATTCGTGTAATTTTAAGGGTTCTACCTTGAAACATATCTATGGAATCCTGGTCAAGATCCTGAGTGGAAAATGTTTTAAAAGTTGGGGGATTAAGTATGCTAAGCGAAATAAGTCAATCAGAGAAAGATATGTATCATATGATCTCAGTGATATGAGGAATTCTTAATCTTGGGAAACAAACTGAAGTTTGCTGGGGTGGTGGGTGATGGGAGGGATGGGGTGGCTGGGTGATAGACATTGGGGAGGGTATGTGCTATGGTGAGTGCTGTGAATTGTGTAAGACTGATGAATCACAGACCTGTACCTCTGAAACAAATAATACATTATATGTTAAAAAAAAAAAAAAGTAGGAAGGGAAAAATGAAGGGGGGGAATTGGAGGGGGAGATGAACCATGAGAGACTATGGACTCTGAGAAACAAACTGAGGGTTCTAGAGGGGAGGGGCGTGGGGGGATGGGTTAGCCTGGTGATGGGTATTAAAGAGGGCACGTGCTGAATGGAGCACTGGGTGTTATGCACAAACAATGAATCATGGAACACTACATCAAAAATAATTTTAAAAAGTTGGAGGAATAAGATTAGGCTGGTGTTGTCAAGACAAAAGATGTTACTAAGTGTATGTGAATGGGCAAGACGTCTTTGTCTGTTTCTTTTTAGAGGGACCTATAACCGTGACAAGGACTACTAAATCTTTTGTAAATGATTTTCGAGAGCCAAAATAATAATAAAATAAATTTGAAGTTTATTAGTTAAACAATCCACTGTGAAGATATCTATACTAGGGTATTTATTGTTTACTGACAGAAAAGCAAAAAGATTACTGACAAGCAGTTATGAGCTGAGTATAACATTGCTGAAGTTTTAAACTAAGCATGTATTTATGTTACTAATATGACAGATTGTGGAGTCAGCAGGATTTGGTGGTTGGCCATGCAATTAATGAAATAAATTTAGCAAACTGTAATCAAACAAATATTGAAGTATTTTTTTCTTTCTTTTTTAATGTTCAATTAGGTATTCAATTGACAGAAACACAGACTTGGAGAGATACTTCAATATTGATGCCAACAGTGGAGTTATTACTACTGCCAAATCTTTGGATCGAGAGACAAACGCTGTTCATAATATCACAGTTCTTGCAATGGAGAGCCGTAAGTTGTAAGGTTTAACATTAAATTAGGATGGAGGTCATTGAGAGTAGAGAATGGGTTGTCATGAGGTGCTAATTTCTGCTTGAGTTACATTACATGCTTATTTTAATTGAGCAAAATCTTGAAAATCCCTAATTTCAAGCTGTGAAATATACTTATATCATTTATTTGCCAATACTCACAAAGTTAATGAAAAGAGATTACTATAAAATAATGGGCCTGAGTTACCTTCCAATGGCTTCCTGTTGTATTATAGTCTTATTTCATAAGCTGCATCTATGCTGATATAAAGTCGGTCCAAGAGCTTACAAAAAGTAGTAACTTGATCTCTAACCAATACACACAGATAAGCATATTGATATTGAACTGATTTTAGCCCCTTATAATAAAAATATTGAAAGAACAATGCATAATTATATGTTATGCATATTATCTACATATATAGTATATGTGCATAGATAATATTTATACAATATATGTGTATAGTCATACAAATCTGTACTCTAGCTTCAAAGAATATTGAAATTCATGGTTTATTGGTTCTTTCTTTCAATGATTTTCTCATCAGGGACTCAAATAAATATACACATGTACTATACATATATATGATGTTTAGATCAAATTTTCTGTTGCTCCCTTTGAAGAAACATAGTGTTATGTTTCTAGATTTCATTCATGGTTTGGTCATTTTCTTATTAGAATCATGATTTAAGAGGCAAACCATTTTGAATAATTCTAATTGTTTTTAATAGGAGTTGCTTGAGTAAAATGGCAATGGAAAATAGCTTTACTCTCAGAGTAAATGGTAAGACATTTTCCTCTTTATTAGAGAATCCATCTCAAGTCGGAAGAGGCTATGTGGCCATTACTATACTCGACGTCAATGACAATGCCCCCGAATTTGCTATGGACTATGAGACCACTGTGTGTGAAAATGCCCAGCCAGGGCAGGTAAGAGCTCTCAGCACACCAGGCTCCTAGCTTGTGATTTCTTTAAAAATAGCCAGCCGCAGTTGCCTTTGAAATTCTGCCAGCTTTAAGATAAAACATAATCAGCACGTCTCAGCAAAACTAACACTTTGATGTGTAGCATAAACTAATATTGAAGGAACTTTAAAATTCTGGTTTAATTAGGATGATGAAATTTCTCAAGAAGAAGAGTGAACATTGTAAAAGCCATGGTAAATGGTTGAGGGCTTTGACTCTTTTAAGGAGAAATCTAGCATATGAAGCTTGATTGGGCTGTTCCCCGTTTTACACAGCAGGGCTTACGTACCTTGAACTTCTAAGAATTAAGTGTAGTTTAATCTTGGTGTGGTTTGTTCTACTCATCCGTATCGTTCGGGGTTTTGTGATGTGTCGTTTGGGGTTTTGTGATGTGTACTGGGCTAATGTCATCAGTTGGTACAGCTTCTTTCTCAGGTTCACAGAAGTAAATGCAAACATGAAATTTCAAAGGGACATGATTGAGTTTTCAGAGCCCTTTTTAGATTGGGTTCATATTAGTACATCTGGTCCTTCCCCCCAGGAGGATGGTATTTATTATAAGGTATAAAATTGCTCTGTCCTGTAGCACAGAACACAGAAGAGCACAGCAACGTGCTTTCATGTTTTTTAATTCTCCATCCCTAGGTTATCCAGAAGATCAGTGCTGTTGATAAAGATGAGCCATCCAATGGACACCAGTTTTATTTCAGCTTAACAACCGATGCAACAAATAACCACAACTTTTCACTGAAAGATAACAAAGGTAAGGAATTATTGTCACCAGTGGAGGCAGCAGGTACAAACTCTCTAGGCAAATACTTTTTCTTGCTCAGGAATGCTGATTATGGAGACACACACACACACACACACACACACACACACACACACTAGCAAGGACATTAATTAAAGGGCAATGAGCACCTCAAGTAATTTTTATCTATGGATTTGCTGTCATGAAGAAGCAGCTGCTACTTATATCATTTCAGGCCTAAATCCAAATAGGGGAGAAGCCAGATACATCTCTTTCTGACTTTTCTTTTAGACCTTTGAGAGCCAGCTAAATGTGTTAACAAGGCTATATACTACATAGGTATAACTTGAGACATTAGGAAAATAATCGGTATTTCCAGTTTTATATCAACCTAAATCAACTTTGACTTAATATTTTCAATAGTAGCTGGGGCGCCTGAGTGGCTCAGTCATTAATCGTCTGCCTTTAGCTCAGGTCATGGTCCTGGGATTGAGCCTCGCATCGAGCCCCACATCGAGCCCCGCATCGGGCTCTCTGCTCTGCGGAAAGCCTGCTTCTCCCTCTCCCACTCCCCCTGCTTGTGTTCCCTCTTTCGCTGTGTCTCTCTCTGTCAAATAAATAAAATCTTTAAAAAATATATTTTCAATAGTAGCATCAGTTATTTTATTTAACAAAAAAATAGAAGTAATCCATGCAAATAATTAACAGATATATTCCTGATGCAAGGAAGTATAAAAAAAAACAAAAGAATTTCCTGTCATCCTAAATCTCATTTCTCTGCTTCAAAGGTAAACACTCTTATCAGTTCCCTAAGTTTTATTATAGAATATTTTTATAAGTACCTGTAAGTATATTCTGGTTTTGCTTAAAAAAATACATTTTTGCTTTAAAAATCTATATATAGACAGAAACACACATATATATTTACATTTTATAAATATATATAGACTGACATAGGCATATATAAACAATTATTTTATAATATAAACAACATATATATATATATATATCATTATAGACAACACATGGACAATTATAAGAACTTTTAAAGTAAGAGAACCTGCTATCTGTCCTCTAATTTTGAATTTATATATTCACAGGTGTTTTCATTCAAGGTATTTATTTTAACGGAAGGGCATTTTCAACTGATATATATATAGAGAGAGAGGAGTATGCTCCACCAATACAGAAAATGTAATTCCTTTGGGTTGAATGTGTGAATCAGGTTTCAGGGGGAAAAAAAAATGTAGAAATAGATTTGCTAGTCAAACACTGGCTCATCTAAAAAGACTTACTCAGAAGGTAGACATGATAAGTACTTTTTGCCTGAAGCCACCATCTTCTTTAGTGTAGAAAATCCAACTTTGACCTCAAAAATTCAATCTGAAAATAATAGTTTTCCTGATCCCACTCTCTGCTTAAATGAGAACACTATCTTGTCCCTTTAGTAATATAAAAGGAAGAGCATTCTCTATGTGGGTAATCCTCGACTCTCTGACTTAATCATATTTGGGACAATTCTCAGCACTTGGATTCATCCAGCACAAGTGTAGAGAGAGGATTTTATGACCTTGCCAAGAAGAGTCTGAATATTTCCCCCATGTGTCATCATCCACTACCACCACAATTGTTGAACAGTACATGCACTAAAATGTATGGATTTATAGGACATCCCCACTGCTGCACAATTGAAAGATTTCCCTAATTCAAGACCAGAGCTCCCTAGCATGTACCTTGGAGAAGATCAGTTCTTATATTAGCTTCCATCATAGGAACTGCATAAAGAACATGATGAATTTTATGATATCCTTCCTGAGAATAGGGCTTTCTTTCACATATTGGGCATTTATGCATGTGCTTCACAATCCATTGTGTGTGTGTGTGTGTGTGCGTGCACACCCACACACGCATGCTATTTGATGCCAGTCATGTTAGATTACAATTCAGCAGCTCTGAAAAAACTTTGTGTATCAAATCATCGATACCTATATCTTAATGATTGGGAGGTAAAGAAATAGACACGTGTGTGTGTTACTATTAAGTGTATGGAAACATACTGAAAATAATATCCTTCTACAACTCCATGTATAGATTTTTAATGAACACCTGAAATTCACGTCTTAAAAGATTTGTTTACATAAAAACTTACCAGACAGAACCTAAAAATCACAGTTTTATACTTGCCACATCTATGATTGGAGGTTATATGTTTTCTCCAGGCTCCTATGAGCTTCTTGTTTTGTGCTCTTTGGATAGAATAGATTTCAGCTTGCTCTTTCATTAGAGCATTGTTAATTCTTTTCTGATAAACATTGGATAAATATCTTTTTGATAGCTTGGAAAGGAGATACATATTAAAGTACACTAGATGAAACTATGATGCTATTTTCCTTCTTTATGTTTTAATTGCTATAAATTTAAAGGATCACATAAATTTTCTAGTTAAGACAGTAGCTGGGTAAATTGTTAGTAGATAAAAAAATTATTTCTGATATAGAAATTACAGTTATGTGATACAGACTTATTGATCACTGGTAAAAGCTTCATAATTAAATGTTAGATAAAATAGAATATTGAATATAAATTAAACACAAATGACCTATTTTATCACTAACAAAGTGTTTATATACATGGGGTTTGGGTGATGATATATACCAATATGGATTTTTAAAACCTACACAATAATTCCTTTCCTGAATATCTATGTATACTTAATTCAAATAAAGCTGGATTGTCTTATTTTACTTGTTTCTATATTGGGTTTGGAACTTGTCAAGGAGAGGATAGATTGGGATTTTTATTTGTGTTATCTGATGATGCTGCAAAAATATTTATGCTGTTAATTTGAATCATCCTCTTTGTAAGTGTATGGTTTGAAATTTAGGAGAAAAGGGTGTATTCTATGTAATTTTTACAAAGTTGCAGTTAAGGGATGAACAAAAATTTTCATATTCAGTTTTACTGGATAACTGTTTCCTTTGGTCATAACTGTGCAGCATGACGTAAATACATTAAAATGTATTAAAATCAACCAGTACTGGGTAATAGAGCTCTCTGACAAAAGACACTTAACAGAATGACTTAAATCACATAAATTTGTGTGTTTCTTCTAGAAGTTTGTACCTCTTAATCCCCTTCACCTATTTCGCCCAGCCCCCCACCCCCTTAAATCAGGTAAGTTTGGCAGGACTGAGTCCATCAGAAGTTTTGTGTTACACATTTGTTTTCTCTATCCTAGACAACACAGCTTCCATTCTCACCAGGAGAAATGGCTTCCGGAGACAAGAACAATCTGTTTACTATTTGCCGATCTTCATCGTGGACAGTGGATCGCCTTCCCTCAGCAGCACCAACACTCTCACCATCCGCGTCTGCGACTGTGATGCCGATGGGATCGCCCAGACTTGCAATGCGGAAGCCTACGTCCTGCCCGCGGGTCTCAGCACAGGAGCCCTGATCGCGATACTCGCCTGTGTCTTGACATTACTGGGTAGGTACTGTTTACAGTGCTTGCTCTGTAAGAGCAATCGCACCAACCATATATCATGACCTTTCTCTTTTCTTTTGCCTTTAGTACCTTTTTGAGAACATATGCAAGAATTCTATTGGATCGTGTTTTGTTCAATGAGCAACCCTTGTTCGTTGGCCACACTTTCCAATGGTATATTTAAAATACAACTCGGAAAAAATATCAATTTCATTTTTAAAACAACATTGAAGATAAATGACTGTTTAAACTTGATTTTTTTTTTTTTTTTCAAATTTACCGTGTCCCAGCTGTTTGTTTTAGAATACCCTACAGAGGAGATATTTTAGACCAGAATATTTTCTATGTTGTTTTGATAATGTGATTACTTCAGAAATTATGGTTTTATATCCCACCTCTTTTCAGAAAAGATTTAAGGTAGATTTTTAAATTATTCACAAATTTGAAAAGATTGCAATTTCAGCAATGCAAAAGTTATAATTTCCCAAGAATTAGCATATTTAATTATACTCTCCATGATTACTTTATTGCATGGTTAAGTAAGATTTATAACTTAGAATTAGTTTTATAAGAGATTATGCAGTACCCTTTTAAAAATTGGGAGACATCCAACATGGGCATTGGGTAATGGGTTTATTCCTTAGCTATATTGTCTATCAGAGTAGAACTTCCTACGTCAAGGACAACAAGCGTTTAATAATACATCTGAGACCGTACTGTGTGTTTTCTTGGGGTCTAATATAATTTGTGAACCCATTTATAATAGATTTTTGTAAAAGCTGAATTTGGCAATGTGAGTCATCATTGTGTAATGTTTAAAAACAAGATTTATGAAGTTCAGTAAACATAACTTTTATTACTGTTCCCAACATACACTAGCTTTTCACCAGGGGAACATTATAAAGCTGGGCTACTTAATCTAGAAGGGAAAAATAATAGAATTAGACTGTAAGGTTGTTGTAAAAATTAAATGAGATAATCATGTACCTACCATATAGTGCACATGCGATAACTTTTAAGTGTTATTGATGAACTGAATTCTCAACCTATTAACCAAGCTAAGACCTAGTTACTAATACACTGTAAATGATCTCATACAAATGGAAATTACTGACTTCAATAACCTCAGCTAACCAAATAAATCTAGAAAGGAAAAAAACTTTTTTTCAAATAGCTTCACACAGGTGATGGAAAGTCTCAAATTCATTAGAAATGGTAAGTAATTCTCAGTTAAAGCCTGATTAGAATAGAATACAAAGGACTAGAGTAAATTTTGAAAAAGATGGAACCATTGCAAAGGCAGATGGTGTATGGATGACTCTTTTTGAACTTAACCTGGCCAGTTTATCACAGACAATTTAGATTATGTCATACTTCAAACAAGTAAGATAAAATTGTATTCCTCACAATTTAATCACACCCAACAATTAATTACCTTTGACTTTTTTTTTAAGGCTGTCTATCTAATGAAGCCTTCTTCATGCTTAGAACATACTTTTACCATTGACCTAAGGATTCCTTGCAGGCTAAGTGGCTTGATGGTTCTAATTAAGAATCATTACCTAGCTGTCACTGAAAATAAGTGAAATAAAGTTTTATAGATTTTATTCTTGCATATGACATGTAAGAGTACGTGTGTGTGTACATTTGTCTCAGGGTAAGATTATAGGTTTTTGTGGATTTCGTCAAAATTTAGTTATATTTGAGCCTTTTCCTTTAACAGATACCAGACTAGGAATACCTCTTCCGCTTCTTAGGATAAGGTGTTTATGTCTTATATTTTACTCATCTTTTAAAGTTTCTCCAAGTCTACCAAAACAAGTCCAAACAGAGCCTATTGTACTGAAATTCATTTGAGGACTAGTGGCTTTCATTTCTCAGTGAGGACTTGGCTCAGTCGTCAGTGTGTTAAAATACTGGTATTCTTGTTCAGAAGTGAGTCTTTTTATGCCTTATTTCCTGAGTCTTTAGAAACAAATGATCAGGACGTTGCATATTCTTTTGGTTCTGTCTCCTCAATTACAGACTCTGGGTTTTCACATAACATGTGACAAAGCCAACATGACCGCGTATTTGGGTGGGGGTGCTGTGGATGGGATACACAGCCTGGCATGGGTCATGACTTCTAGTGCACGAGTGACCTTTACACCTCAAGAGGTGAGGTGGGTTATTCCTAGACACTAGATAACAGGATTTGTAACTCAACATTTTTAGGCTTCTAAATAAATATTGCTAGAAAAAATCAGGGTAGGGGTGCCTGGGTGTCTCAGTTGGTTAAGTGTCTGCCTTCAGCTCAGGTTATGATCTCAGGGTTCTGGGATCAAGTCCCCATGTTGGCTCCCTGCTCAGGGAATCTGCTTCTCCCTCTCTTTTTGAATCTCCCCCCTGCTCGTGCTCTCTCTTTCAAATGAATAAATAAAAAATCTTAAAAAATGGTTTAAAAAAAAAAAAAGCAAAGGGATGGAAATAGGGAAGAACTACTTGAGAATCTAGTTCAATCTATAAGGATGAAACTAGAGAAGCACCTGGGCTTTTAATCCCTAAGAAAAGGTGCTTCTCTGTATGGCAAGTTTGTTTTCCAGTGATGTTTCAAATTAAAGCTATTTGTAAGATGAGAGAAAGGGATGCCCTGAAGTTTCCAGAATATTCATGCTGGAAGGCATCATAGAAATCAATTCTAGCCCAAACCTCTGCACTTTGCAGAGGGGAAAAGGGAAGTAAAACTGGGTTCAAGGATTTCGGGAGTTCATATAACAAGTTACGCCATAAGATTCTAGGTCTCTTTATCATGAATCACTGCTTTTGGATTAAACTACAAAAAAAACACACCTTGAAAATATTTTTTTTCAAAATTGTTCACACATAGTCCTTTCTTTCTCAGAGTTGAAAAGTCATGTTGTCTGAAGTTGGTCGTGTCGACTTCATGTTTGTGTCCTCCTACCTTTACGGGTGAACTATTTCCTGAGTTTTCTCCCATCCTAACTTTGTTCTCACCCTTTCTAATTTATTTGTACCTGAATTTTCTAAATGAAAGAGACCCAAAAATTAGAGCCTGAAGTTTCCTTTACTTACATTGACTATACCTCGAATGGGAATGATTATGGTCATATTCAAAGTTCATGATAAAGTTATCAATCAGATGTGATTATTTTGCAAGTAGAACCATTTCATCAGTATATGGCAAAATACTTTAGTATTCTAGTGTTTGACTAAATATTTTTGCCACACCAATTTTTAAGATTTTATTTATTTATTT